TGAAACACACATGGGAATGAATGCAGATATAGATCACTTGCGTCAAACCCAGCTTTATCAGGGCTTGGTGAGATATCTTTTTCAAGGGCCTACAGCAATTGAAAAGCAATTAGAATTTCATTGTATTTTCCAGTTGCATTAACCATCCTGTAGATACATACACGAGTCCACATGGAAAAAGCTGCCGCCATACCTTCACTGCACAGCTGCTGTAGTACAGAAACATGGGATGTCAGCAAAGCAAAACTTCAGTTGGGTACTTGGAATTTGGAGACACTTCAGGCCTTAAGAAAGAATGGAAAGCCCCCCCGTCCTACCACTAAATAAAAGGGATGTTCCTACAGAAATGGGAAATGCTTCCTTTTCACCAACTGGGCAGGTAACAGTACCGGGAAAGGGATTTCAGAAAGCTGCAGCGCGACAGCTGAAAGCTGCCCGTCCTGAAGAAACAGGTCCTGGTCATGTTCCTTCAGTGCTGCGTTTGTTAGAAGAGTTTATTCATTACTGGTTTGAGAGTGACAGAGCTCTGCACGAAGGGTTTTTAATTTACCTACCAGACTGGGCAAGCAGGGGTAGCTCTGAAGCAGTGAGATGAAGGGGAATCACACACCCCCGCAATGTCAGGGCCTGGCAAGTCCAAAGCAACAAAAAGTTGAAGGGGAAACTGCCTGCAGTGTCCAGGGGAGCTGGATTTGTGTGCAAGGGGTTGCCGGAGAAGGAGCACAGAGATCCCCTGCTTTTTTCATCCTCTGGCCGTAACCTTCCCGTGCGGTCCTGCACAGTGGCTGGAAAACGCTTGCAGTGAGGTGTTCCTGAGCAGTGATTAGTGAATGTTGGTTTACACCACTTGTGGTTGAATCCACCTTCTGACCATCTATTACAAGTGGATCTGGTTTTCTTCCGATCCAAGCAGAAGTACCTTAATTTAAATAACTGGCATTTCTTGGGAGAGTAACCGCTATGCAAGATTTGGTCCATTGGCGAGATCTCCCAATGCATCATGTACTGTGGGGCAGAGATTAGGCCTCTCTGGATGTTTTGTTCATTCTTGAACATGAGGGGGCTCAACAGCTAGCAAGAAGTTAGTTCTTATTATGAAATGCCAATGTGCAACTCTGAAACTGTTAGCCTTGCAGATACCGGTAATGTGAAAGCAGTCTGCTTCACCTACTGCTGTATTTAGAGCAAGTGGATTTGGTCACTCATGCATTTTTTTTTTTTTTAAAGTACTGTCAGATCTCTCACAGGCAGTATTTTCTAATGAATGCAAATGAACATTGTGATTATCCATTTCAAAGCAATCGGTAGCGAACCATCATTGAGCACAGAACATTATTTATACAGCTCAGAAACCCCAGTGATGCTCGTGCATAATTCCTCATACATCACGGTGATAGAAATTGCCTTCGGGACCCCAGCCTCTCTGTTTTTGAGTTGCAGACATTGTCACTTCAATGGCTGACTACTTGATTTTGCAGGTTCAGTTTGATGCGCATATGATAGCAAGCCCACGCTTGCCTGCAGATGCCAGACTGCACCCAAAATGACTTGCTCCTCTTAATAGCAGTGAATGAAGTGACAGGCTGGCAGCTCTTAGGGACTCTTGGTTCTCTCTTCTTATTTTCCAAGTCCTTCTCTACTGCCACCTGTTCACAGCTCAGTTCTCATCCTACTCGGCACTTGCCTCAGTATGAAAACTTGGGGCATATCATGTGTTTACATGTATGATTGCTCTTAACTCAAACTTTATTTCCATGTCATGCTCAACCTCTAATTCCAGTGCATTGCCTCCTGCTTGCTGTTCCCTGTGTGGATAGTCTTGCTCCAACTGCTCAGTCTGCAGGACTCTTCTCGGACCTGTTAAAAATGGAATTCACAGAAAGACACAGATTATCTCTTCCTGTCCATGCTAGGCTCCTAGGGAAAGTGAAAATAATTGTGTCTCTTCCTGCTGTTAATACTGTAGTTGCTACATCCAACAATCTTTTGGGGAAGTTTAACTTTTAAAACACCGGGCAATTTACTACCCCCATGTAGTAGCTCTCCTTGGTAGCCGAGATGTATGGCGACAAACTGCAGTGGAACTGTGAAGCTGGAAAATGTCTGGCGAGTAACCTCTTTCCTAAGAGACTGTGTTAACCAAAGGGCTAATAAAATCTCGTTTAACCATCATTGAAAGACTTTTCGGTAGATGGCCAAGCCTGGTTGGTCTCTTGAGTATAAAAAGTAGTATAGAATTGTTCCTTCTAGCATTACTTCATATCAGCTTCTGATGCCAGTCTCCTGTGCATCAAAGAGAAATGCTCCTTTATTGCACCATTTTCAAACATTTAAGCTTGTAATGCGTTCGCAGCGACACTTAGTCCTACTGAAATACCAGCTATATTGGTTGGTGTTTCGTACACACGTGCAGCCTGGTCCCACAGTGGCAAAATGGAGATCTTTCCCGGCTGTCATACAGGGCTTAGGGGCTTTTAGCCAGGCAGTCCCCTGTTGCCGCCCTTGCGTTTCCAGTCCTCCACCGACACGTGGGAGGGAGGTTTCTCCCTGTAATCCACTGGTAGCCCCCAGAGGTAAATATCCCATGCTTTTTCTTACACCGAGGACAGACTCAGCCTGAGGTTGAGTCTCAGCGTTATGGAAATACAGAGCACTCTCCCTGCTGAGCACTGATCAGAAGGTTGTTCTTATGTAAATCCAAACAGGACAGCGTGAAAATGCTTAAAGCAAGGCCCCATCTAGGGCAATACGTTACAAACTTGTTAGACTGGGTCTGTGAAATCCATTTTTACAGCTTCCAGAACCAGATCACTACCTGTCTGTTTCTCAGTGTGTCATCCATGTCTCCTACCTAAATTTTAATTCCCTTCCCCTTACTTTCCAAGTATTACCCTGTATAACTGAGCAAAGGCTTTGTGACTTTCTCTTGCACAGCATAGCCCATGTCTTTATATCCCCTAGCTTCTCAAGTTGGATGTGTCTTAAGTGTAACCTTTTGCTGAAAGGTAAAAGCAAAAGATTTTTAGGATGTGATACAAGCTTTTGCATTTCTAGTGTGCTTGGTAGCTGTTTGCCACAGTCACGCATTGAGGTCCCTACAGGAATTGGTAGACTCATGCCTGACTCTAAGAATCAAATGCAGTAACCAGACAACCTCCTCTTGCTCATGCTGCTCTTGCTTGAAGTCACATGGAAAAGCAGCGAGTGTGAGGGTCAGGGCTATGCCCCGTATCCCTTCAACCGTAGAGACCTGCCTTGCATGCTGGGGCGTGATGCTGCTGACTGGTGACTGCTTTCAGTTACATATCTGTTCCCAGAATAACACCACATTCAAAAAAAAAAAAACCAAAACAAACCAAAAAAGATAAAACGATAACTGTTTATCCTGGCTAAGCTTGTGTAAAGGTTTTCATATGATGTTTTTAGTGCTTGAAGTCTTTTTTCATTAAACCGTTTCAGTATCCAAAAAAACCCCATTTCTCTTACTCAGCTTCATTAGTTATAGGAAATCACTAGCTTAAAGTAGAGAGCAGATTAGCAAAAAATAAACTGTAGTATGTCTTGGGCATATGGTGCCGCATATGAATGGGTTTTAACTACTTAACTGTGTATAACAAAGAGCAGAAGGAGAGATTTGTCTTAGCGAGCAATAATTATAATTTGCAGTAGCTGCATAGCTTAACAGTCAGAAACCACAAAGCCACGGAAAGCTTCTGGTTAGGATTGACGTGGGGTGCGTGCGCCTGTCCCCGGGCTCAGGTCGTGTTTTCTGCCAGCTGACGGCCAGGCATGAGACTGGACTTAGCTAATTAACAGGATGCCGCTCCCTCCTTTCCCTTCCTTTTTGCTGGGCTCATGGTTTGCAGCGCTGGGTTAGCGGGGGTTACAGAGACCAGGATTGAGCCCATCGGACACGGGAAGCGGCACGGGTCCGGGCACGCTGCTCCATCGCACAGGCCAGAGGAGAGGCACGCTGTGGGCAAGCCCATGACAGCCCAGGCTTCGCCTCAGCTGGAAATCGTCCCCCGCAGAGCAGATATAAACAGAAGTAACAAATAAGAGAGGCCACGATGTCAGGGTGATTGCTGGGACTATCAGCCTTCAGGCTCTCGGCACAGACAAATACAGCCTGCTTTGAATTCAAATGACTCCGTAATTTCTAGCTTCTGGCTTTTTTTGCCTAAGATCCATCATTCCCCTCTGATACTTCAACCTACAAAAATCAAATTTATGCCTTTTCTAAACAGACCCAGCTCTAGAACTAGGTCCTGAAACACAAGTCAGTGCAAACACTGGTAACGTCCTGACGGTGCTCCACCTCCTGCTTCTCAGGAAAACCGTCCTTTTCCATTTGGGTGCTGAGAGGTTTCCAAAAACCAAGCGGTGGCGGTGACATAACTTCCATTTCTTAAAAAACCTTCTTATAAACGGATATAAAGATTTGCAAATCTGATTTATAAAGTAAATTCAGAAATACCTGGAGAATTACCTGGTCTTTATCTGGGGTCCTCACTACATTTGCTAGCATGGATTAACTAATAATGTTATGCCATATAGCTTAAACATGTATGCCCTTCCCTTTCTTTGGGGGATTGCTTTCCTCTGAGGCTTCCACAATGTGTTTCACATCCACTGTGAGTAACATTCTTGGACTTCTGCCCTGGATTAATCAAACATAAATCATTGCCCCATGCAGAAAAGAAAGTTTTGCCAAAAATTGTGGTGGTCCAGAGAAGAAAAGAGGGTGGGCTTTTTCCCCTCTGTGAACCCTTAACTATTTTTATTCCTTTTTTTTTTTGTGGGAAATTTTGTGCATTGAAAAAATCACCAACAAAAAAATTAGTCTTGTTTTTTAGTGATTAATATGAAAAAATTAAATCCCTAGCCTCTCAGGAGAATATACTTGCTTTCTTCTCAATTACTTTTATGGTGCTGAGCCCTGCCAAACTTGCAGGCTTTGTTTTTAGCTTGTCAATAACTCAGCGTTGCTTCTATTGCAGAGCTCCCTGAAGAGAAGAGGCAGCAGAGAAATGCACAAAGAAAAAAAGGCATTTACCCAGGTATGGTTTTCAAGAACATGCAACTTGGAGCAAAAGCACATGATGAAACTCCAAATTTCTTTTTACGGGTGTTGACAGGGCCATCAGGCACATTAACTAGAGTGCAATTAGGCCTTAATCTACTGAGACCTCCCAGAGATAACGTAGAAGCAATTTAGGACACAAGTGTGATCTCTAAATTGTGCAGCTTCTCGGGCTCGTTGTGCTTGTATCCATAGATTCAGGCTGCAGGTTTTCTACAAGCAGAGAAAATCACCTTGCCTCACAAAGTAATTGGATTGCAGCTTAGGGACTAACTAAATTTATACCCGGTGCCAAAGATTTTGTGCTAATGAGCATTTTGGCAGGGAAGGCGGTTGACACACTGCAACGACACCTCGCGAGCTCTCGTGTTGCAACCCCGGCTTTGATCATCTCTGGTGTCGGGGTGAGGGGGCACCATGTGAACTTGTGCTCCTCACGGCTGAGGTTCGACATAGAGTCTAAGCTACCCGCTCAGTCACCCCTTGGCCACCAGTTTTATTGAACTCCCGTAGGCTGATCCTTCTCAGGGAAGCAGTCTGTCTGGTTTCCTCTGCTTTTTTTGTGCTGACTGTAGGAGTTAAGGCTTTTCCCAGCACCCGTACGGTTACCGTTTATAGCCGGAGAGATGGGGATAGTGTTTCACTTTGCTGCGAAAGGAGCCAAGAGCAACATCAGGCCTTCCTTAGAGAAAGGTTGCACCTCCCCTGCTGCCCCATTGGCAGGCTGAGCGTACGCAGCTGAGACCCTAGAGGTCTTCTCTGAGTCAATGGAGTCTTAAAATCCATTGATTTGTAATAATAACCATAATAAATCATTACAACATGTTACACTTGAGTGAGTAGGGTGGGCAGACCAGGGGCTCGTGGTGGCTGGGGGCTGCAGCCTGCTTTCCCAGGACACAGAAGACCGAGTGTCCCCACCGAGATCATAGAATCATAGAATCGTCTAGGTTGGAAAAGACCTTTAAGATCATCAAGTCCAACCGTTAACCTAGCACTTCCATCCCACCACTAAACCATGTCCCTAAGCACCTCGTCTACCCTTCTTTTAAATACCTTCAGGGATGGGGACTCAACCACCTCCCTGGGCAGCCCATTCCAGAGCCAGATGATACAAGCACGGCTTAGTCAGACATTAAAATGGGGCACTGGGCTTTCTGCCTGCAGGGCCTGCTACGCAGAATTATTTAAGTTGTTAGTCAGGTCAGAGAGTTTGTTTTTCTGCAAGTCTGTAAAATACATGGATGAAATATGTATGTGCCTGCACACATGCAGATTACAGATGAAGCTACATGAAGGCAGGGTGGTGTCCACCAGGGTTTGTGGATAGCACTGTTCTTCCTTTCCTCATTCCTAGAAATACAGAGTGGTGCAGAGGGAATGGATTCCTTGTGCTTGCTTCTTCTGCCCAAATCCAGGCATTAACAGCAACTGTAGTTTGCCTTGGAAAGCCTTAAAGAGGACTTCACAAAATTATCTGAGTAACCCTGGGTCAACTCTGCTCCACTCACAGTGTGGGGAAGTGATCCTGCAAAACACCCAGGGGAAAAAAAACCCTTTACGCTGTACACACACATACACACATTGTAACTCACACAAGCGAAGGATTTGGACTTGAAAATGAAGACCATTAAAAGAGCACTGTGCAAGGTGGCTGTTTGGTTTTCGTCAGTGATTCTTTAGGGTAGGAAAGACTGAGAAACAATCTTTTAATTGCCATGGCCCAGCCTATAGGTGCATGTCTTAGCTATCTCCCAACTCTAGGGTGCTACCCAGAGCTGTCTCTGAACCCCGGTATCCCTTCAGAGGTATATACTGGTTGAGACCAGTGCTCACCACAGCAAGTGCCCGTCCCGGTCAAACAGCTACCAGGTCCTGTGGTGTGGCCCAAAGGGGTTAGTACAGACACAGCCCAGGAGGTTCAAAACACTGCTCTTCAGGGACAGCCCCCCTCAATATCTAAAATAACTTCTAATACCCGTTACATGTTTTGTGAAAAACCACCACAAACTTAGATTCTGTGCAACCGTATGCTTACAGATACGTACAGCATATGGCAAGACCAGTGTTTTTACTTACTGGGAGCTCATCATGAAAATGAGCTGGAACGTCATACCCACCGCAGGGCCCACCGAGTAAATACTACCTGTGAAATTGGTTGTCTTAAAGTGGTGTAAAAGCAAAATTCATAGTAGCGCTTACCTGCCTCTAGCAGTATTGAAGAAAAAAAGTTTTTATTCAGCAGAATTGCAAAACGGAGCTTCTTGGAAAATACCAGGCACCAGGCAAAACACAAAGAAAAGTGGTTCTCCAGCGCAAGGTAGGAGTGCTGGCACTCAGCCAGATGCTTGGGTGCTGGTCATAACACCCTGTCGTCAGACTTGCAACCCCAAAACCGCTTACCCATCTTCTGCCTGGCAGTTCCCTTGGGCCGGTGGTGGTGGTGGAAGTGATGGCATTGGTCTCTATCTATCTTTGTGTCTTCTTGCCAGAAAAGAAATATCATACTCGGGAATTTTTGATCAGCTCTTCATTCTCATCACATCATTTACACCGCATAATGAATTTAAGTTTGTTCCTTTAAGTTTCATTTCTTTATCTCCACGTTCTACATTTGTCTAAATTAGACTGCAGGCTCTGTAGGGAGGGATGTGGGGTTTTTCTTTCTGCTTTTTTTTTTTCCGTTAACATCCCTCTGAAGTGCCATGCAGAGCTGGGATGCTATTGCATGCAAATAATCACTATCAGTAATCATTAATTCCCATTTATCCTTAATGATCTCTTAAATCCATGACTAGCACCGTGACTGATGGAACATTTTTGCACTGTTGTTCCTTCTTTTCTTTCTATAGAGTCTGCCCCACATATACCTCTTAGGAAAGCATCCACATACTGGATGTGAAGTACAGTCAGGCTGTCCCATAGCCCAGCTTTCAGCCCCTGGGATTCGAGCCTCTTGTTCCTCCAAAACAGTGGAAAGACTGTATTCTCCTCCACTGTGCGCTCCCCCTGCCCCCCTTACACCCCACCTCTTTTTTCATGATTTAACTAATTATGAACTATTCTTAATTTCGGTGATTTGGCCTCTCGTTAGTTTGCCTTACGTGTCAAAACTCCACCTGCCTGTGTGGGTGTCTCGCCCTCTTGCTGTTTCTACTTGGCTTCAACTGATCAAGAAATCGCTGATATTTCTGTACACAAAGTTTCAGAGGGACAGATGCATGAAGGTTGGGAGTCCTACCCTTCTGGCATGCTTAGATCTGGCTGATAAATCTCTCCTGACCATTCTTTTCCTTTGGAAAAAAGCTGTCCAGGGAATGGGATTTTCAGTAGTCATGTTCCCTGGCAAAGAAGCAGGGAAGATCTAGAGCTTTCTCACCTTTACAGATGGGATCCATATTTAGTAGGTGAGATTAACATCCATCAGCTCTGTTATTTTGTATGAGGCTTGTGTTTGTCTGATAAAAAAAAAATCTCCTTTGTTTCAGTTCTTGCAAAAACCAAAACTTACAAATGTGGTCCTTTTTTCACATAGACAAAACCTAGCAATAAAGTAACGCCATAACGGTGTTAGAGAAGTTAATGGTGGTTTTGTCCTGCTATAACAACGCGCTAGCTCCACAGATGCATTGAGTCGTGCAGTGATGCCGAGCAAAAACACTGGGGCCCTGACCCCAAACCCATTGAAGCCTTTCCCTTTTCTTCAAAAGCTTCAAAATGCTGAGTGCGTGCTCCTGAGTGCGACTCTGTGACTGTGATTTATATTGCTTGAAATGCAGCGGGCGCCAGGCTGGGAGCCCCCTCTGACCCTCCGGGAAGAGCTGGCCCCCAGTGCTCCCTGCAGCCAGGGAGGTGCGAGGTGCCAGCTAGTGCCACTGATGGCTGGGCTCTTGCAGCCACAGGCAGACAAGAACCACAGGCAAAAATGCTGGATTACAAAGGCAGAATAAGGAAAATGTCAGATGCGATTGTTTCCAAGCTATTAACAGATAAATAAATAAACTGGAGTAATCACCCCACCTGTGAGCTCCAAAGCGCAGCACTGGACTGGACGTAACCTTCCTTGTGATCTTTGTATTTCCCTAAAAGCAAAGCCTACAGCTGCAGGGATAAACTGATTCTCGATGAGAGGAAAAAACGAGGTAATGTATTGTGCAGCCCCGACCAAAGATGATGCTTTAATCATAACAGCCTTATCCAGCCAGAGGAACCAAAATTCAGAGTGACTCCAGTGGAGGCTGCCTGATGTTTTGCCAGGTTTCAATCTGATACTTAATTTGCAGATCTGAGTTATAAAGAGAGAAGCAATTTGCAAGTACATGTGTGAAAAAGAGGTGTGTGTATGTGAGGAGATGATAGGAAAGAAAGCCATCTCCTAGAGGCTCTGCTTCTAATCAATTATATGCACCTCGATTATATTCATAGAAACCCCACATTTCTGGTGCCAGAAACACAAAGACCAGAGCTTTAGTCAGTCAACTGATGAACTGATTGCAGTTGTGTTTGACTCCTGGTTATCACTGAAAATCACAGATTAATAGGAACTTTGGTTATTGTTACTAACATTTAAGATAAATTTTCACTCTTTAGTATTTTAAAATTGCAACCTGCACAGAGCAGAATCAGTAAGAAAGCTGACTGCGTTCAGAAGTATACAACCAATTACTTTTCTGGCTGTTTAAGTATTAATAGCTGAAATTAAGACATAATTAGTATATATCCAAATGGAATGGGGCGAAATTAATCTAGGTAACATAAAAGACACCATTACCAATGTGCAAGGATGTGTGCTTTAGAAATTAAATTGTTGCCTCAGATTGCTGAGCCATAATTAGTTTTGTAAACCTTTTTATTTTTTTAATAGCCTGATCTGGGTGAACAATTAAAGTCAGTCATGTTTTCTTCTGGATTTGGCTGCCATTGTTAGGAATTATAACAAAATGGTGCTTGTGAAAGATAACAGCGCTCCCGAGACTGAAATGAAGTTTCCATAGAAAATTGCACATATGTCCACATGGCCTACCAACAATGATGAAATCTGCTGTCACGGGAGATCATCTTTCAAAGCCTGCCTTCCATTATACTGCTAATGCTGATAAATGTGTCTCTTGCGAGGCCAAGTGCCTGTATCTCCATGACAATTCATGAAAGTGATTCATGCAAAGAAATTGTTCATCGGCTTAGAATTTGCTTAACCTTGTCTCTTATTTCAGCACAATACACACTGGAGTTTTCGTCTGAGTTGAGATGCGGTGCTTTAAAATGCCCAACACACACACAAAAAAAATCAAACTCTCATTTTAATACCCTGGTGCTTCCTGAAACATGCAGGTTTTCACACGGGATGAAGTTGGATGTAACTACAGTTTAATGAATTTTTCTTTCCTTTTTCACATGTTTTCTCCAATCTCCCTCGTGAACAGTTGTCCATACCAGAAATGGGGATCACAAGCTGATCCATCCTAATAAGAGCAGCAAGCGGAGACAACAGTAGTGGTTCCTTAGGCACTCCGGCTAGTTCACAGCCCTGTGAGATCCAGTAATTAAAGTCTTCACTTTGCAAGGCAACCATGCAGCTTAGCACACTTTTTTGGGGCTTTCTAGCTGAAGAAGCTCAAGATTTGGGATTACGATGAGCAAATTCATCTGAGTAGTCTTCGTTTCATGATGCTAAAAGGGAGCAAATGTATCATTAAACATAAATGGAACAGAAAGTGCCGACGAATCATGGCACCTTTTCATTTGACTTGTTCTTATTTTCCACAAAATTTGCTCAGCATTTGAGAAAAACTAAGCATTGTGCTGGCACTTTTGCATCACTGAACTCTTGCACTGGCACATTGGTTTGGTTTTTTTTCCCCTTCTTTAACTCCGGTCAAGCTGCTTTGCCAATTTAACCAGGACAAAGCCATGAGATGTGTCAACTGTGTGGTTTGTGCAGCTCTGTCTGTGTATTGTTTGCATACCTAACAGATACAGCTCAGAGGGTGGGGAGGTGGAGATTTTGGAAGGTGAGCAACTGATTGTGCTTCTAATATAATCTGGGGGGGGGTGATTATTCTTGCCAGGAGGACAGCGCTGATTTGAAGTGCCAGCTCCAGTTTGCCAAAGAGGAGGCAGCACTGATGCGTAAGAAGATGGCCAAACTGGGGAGGGAGAAGGATGAACTGGAGCAGGAGCTCCAGAAGTACAAGTCCATCTATGGAGATGTGGACAGTCCCCTGCCTACCGGGGAGGCAGGGGGCCCACCCAGCACCAGGGAGGCCGAGCTGAAGCTTCGTCTGAAGCTGGTGGAAGAGGAAGCCAACATACTGGGCAGAAAAATAGTGGAACTGGAGGTGGAGAACAGGGGGATTAAAGCTGAGATGGAGGATATGAGGTGTCAGTATGAAAAAGAGTGTCTCAGCAGGGACCACATTTCAAGCATTCCTACCTCGCCCTACGGCGACTCCGTGGAGTCGGCCACGGAGCTGCGCCGGCACCTGCAGTTCGTGGAAGAGGAAGCAGAACTGCTGAGACGGTCGATCTCTGAAATCGAGGATCACAACAAGCAGCTAACAAACGAGCTGAACAAATTCAAGTTTGAGCCAGGCCAGGAGCCGGGCTGGTTGGATGATGCCACGTCCAAGTGTGGTGGCACCTTGCAAGAGGAGCTGAAGTCAGCCAGGTTGCAAATCAATGAGCTGAGCGGGAAAGTGATGAAGCTCCAGTATGAGAACAGGGTCCTGATGTCCAATGTCCAGCGTTACGATCTTGCCTCTCACCTGGGCCTGCGCACTTCCAGCCCCAGGGACAGCGATGCTGACAGTGATGCTGGGAAGAAGGAGAGTGACAGCGAAGAGGGTCGCCCACCCCAGCCAAAGAGAGAGGGGCCCATCGGGGGCGAGAGTGACTCTGAAGAAGTTTATGAGAAGACATCGGGTTTTGGGAGCGGGAAGCCGTCGGAAGTCAGTGACCTGTGCTCTGCTGAGCTCATGAGAGTGAAAGAGGACACCGAGTCTTTAATTAACATCAAACGTGAAGCTGAGCGGCTCGAAAGGACTGTGGACCGCCTTATCACTGATACGGACAGCTTGATTTATGACGCGAAGGTGCATGTAACCAGCAGCCCATCTACTGAGCAAGTTTTCAAAAGTGGTGAGGAAAGGGGAGAAGATAAGCACGAACCTGAGCTTCTGGACACCATCAACTCCAGGATGAAATCTTTCCGGAAGGAGCTGCAGACCTTCCTGGAGAAGGTTGATCACATTGGGGAGGGCCTTAAGGAGCAGATGGAGGACCTCTCCCCTCTTCCCCATCTCACAGAGTCTTCCAGTTTTCTATCCACAATGACGTCCATGTCTCGAGACTCTCCCATTGGTAACCTGGGGAAGGAGTTAATCACCGACTTCCAGGTAGGTCGGCCCCTTGTTGGCCTTCCTTCTGTTTATTGTTTCTCTTTCTTGCTGGCATCGCTACCCTAGAGCTAATTTTCCTCACAGCTGCTTTGTTATGATTTCAGACCCGCAATGTATTAAAGTGTGTAATGTTAAACAAACACTTTATAGGTTTTTTTTCCTTTGTTTGTTTGCACAACTCCTTTGATTCAGAGGCGGTTCCTCGTGGCAAAAAGGCTAATCCACCGGTGCTATAGAGATCTGTCTTCCTTTTGTCTGTAACAGCGGTGTTTCCCTGTGAAAGAGGAGATTAATTAAAAAAAAATAAATTTCTGATGAATGTAAATTAGCAGCCTTGCTAAGAAATGTGAGGAGGTCTTTATTATGCTCTCTCGTAAAAGGGTCAGGCGTGTTCTCAAAAGCCTTGCCAAAAGAACCCAACCAAATGCAGTTTTCTAAGTGATGTGTTTTGAAAAGCCTGCTTACAGCTCACTCCCCTAACCGAGCAGCGAGTGAGAAGCTCTGTAGCCAGCGAAGGACTGCCTTGCCTAAAGCGTTGCCCATGGGCGCATGTCTAAACTGCCACAACTGCCACACTGGATATGGCTTTTCTGCACAGCACAAGTAAGGAAGGAAGAGCCTTGTGTCCCGTATCCTTCATGACTTGTATGCTTGCTGTTGGTTTGACTCATGCATCCTCATTGCATGCGCCTCATAACCAGTGTTTGCATTCTTTTTTCCTCTCTTTTCTCTTTTTTGCTTTTCAGATGTTTCAGCCCATCATTTTGCTCATCCTCATTTTAGTTTTGTTCTCTTCACTTTCTTATGCCACTGTATTTAAGTTGTTTTTTCTGTTCACGCTTTTCTTTGTCTTGTAGTTTTTCAGTCGTCTACCTTACCCATTTTTGTTTTCTTTATTCCCTCCTGTCCTTTTGTTTTTTTGTTACAAACCGCCCATGCACCTAACAGTCCAAACTGAGGGATCAGATGGAGTGGCAGCTCAAACAAGATCGTGGAGAGGAGCGAGAGATTCACCACCAGCGAGCCACCACCGACCCACACCGCAGAGCTGATGGAGACATTAAACTCTACAGGCCAGGAGACAAGGGCTGTTTCAGTCTAGAGGTCAGCAAAGCAGCCCATCTTACTCACTGCCTCCTGCTGCCTTAGCCAGGAGATGAGTAACAGAAGCCAGGGGTTGGGGGAGTAAATTGGACCAAACACAGCACCCCTGTTGTGAAATTCGTGCTTGACCTCTTTCCCCCCTCACAGTTTCAGAGAAGCAAATTGGTCCTGACTTTGGACTCATCACCCTACTCCCAGTAGCTTCACTGAGTGGGAAAATACGGCTCAGGGACCCACTACAGTTGAGCATAGTAACGAAAGATCTCTGGAAGAGGTTGTAATCCCTGATGTGAGATCATGCTTCCAGGTTTTACCTTGCTGGATATTTCAAATCTGGGAAGTCTACAGACAGAGACTGCATTTTGCCTGGCAGTAGTCTGTGCAGGAGGGGGTTTGATGCTGGTGTGCATGGTGATTCTCAACAGGGAACACAGCACCCTGCAGCTTCCAAAAAAACTTATTTATAAAGCAGAATTCTCCATTGTTTGGGTTGTTGAGTACTTTTCCGTTTGTCAAAAGCATCAATCAGTTTTTATTTTAAACTTCATCCATGCAGAGGCCGTATCAGCCTCAGTAAACATCTCTTTAGCTGCTTTCTCATCACCATAGATTGTCCAGAAACTACATCTGGGCCTGAAGAAAACAATTTCTAATCTGTCTCCGCAAAGATGAGCTGGAGCATTGAAAAAGTGGCCACTGGGAAGCCAAATCTACCTTTAAACTGTGGTGGTTAGAGTAGCTTCTAGTGAGGGACGAGTTTTAATATGTTTTGAATTCTAAAGACACATGCAGAGGCCTTAGTATATCGGAACCCCCCAGTTGAGTCTGGGAAAAGGAGAACGCTGGCTGGGACAGCTGGGTTTGTGAGTAAGCACTAGAAAGCAGGGGTAGGAAGACAAAGCTTCAGGGTGGCTGGTAGCCAAGCAGCACGATGCTGTATTGAATATCAAAGGGAGAGTGGCCCTTCATCATAACAGAGGTAATTCTTTGCTGGTTTTGTTTTGTTTGTTTGAAAATAACCTGACAGTGCAGAGTTTTAGTAGTAGTAGAATAATTAATTCGTTCAGCAGCTACTTTTCCAATTTTATTCACTTTTAGCAGTGATAATAAACCCCAGGAAGGTTATCTGACAAACCCAGGACACCATAAGTCTCTCGCTAAAAGGTAAAGTCTTTCTTCCTCAGCTGTGAAATGGGAGGATGAGGTAGAGAAACCTTGCCATTCAGCATGGATCCTTTCGCGATTGTATTGCTGAATAGTTACGGCAGATTAGGTCAGAAAATCACCACAGCAAATGTTTACAGTATTTTGGTTTAGTCTGTCATCTTTATTAGTTCCCTCTTACCTTAGATCAGGCTCATTAGTATATCAAGTCCGGCGTATGTGAGCCCTTTATTAAGAATAGGGATTCGGGTAGTTTTGGCACAACATCTTTTTTTCCTCTCCCAGGATGGGATGATGTGAAAACTGTGTACCGCAACCTATGTTTAAACAGAGGATGGATAGTTTTCACACCATAGCCTGACAAGGAACAAGCCAGTAATTATAATCAAAAGTACAGAATAACCAGCTGAGGTCCAGATGTGCTCAAAAGGTGAGCAAGGCTGGGGCTCAAATGGCCCAGCCTGAGAAAATGTGGAAGATTCAGGTGTTTGTTTCAGTCAGGTTTACTTAAGCAACAAAGAATTACACTGCTCTATGCTGAAACTTTTCAGTGGGCGGACAGTCAATTGAAATCTTATAATCTGTAATAGTCAAACCCAAGTGAAGCAGAAGAGTCCTTCAAATAATTTTGTATGGTATCGTTTTTAGTATTTTCTTTTTTGATTTCATACACTGCACCAGCAAAAAACTACCTTTTGTGTGTGTGTGCCAGATGAATGAGCAGAAAAAAAATATTATTCAAATACCTAAAGGGGTTTTTTTATTGCCACAGAAATTTCAGATGGAGACTCAAACCTTTCAATTCCCAGAGCAAAGATGGCTACACATAAGCCATTATCCGCTTGTGAAGTGAAAACATACGCACTGGCCAGTGGATAACACTGATTGATGATCTTCTTACTGTGTATGGCCTTTCAGCATGAGAGGAACACATTTCATTTCAGTGAGGCAAATGTTTTCTTTTTAAGCAGGCAAACCCATTTTTCTAAATTCATTTTTTTCCAAGCTGAATTTTAAATGAAAATTTTCCCAAGCAATGCTGAGCAGCTTCCATTTAGCCATTTCTCCTATTTTTAAAAATGAGCATCGTGGGAGCCTAATTGTTTGATTAAATACAATAAATGCAGGCTGACTTGTGCTTGAAACTACCCCGTAGCCTAACTGTAAACATCTGCCTTTGTTTGGGCTTTGCACTGCAGTTGTTAGTGCAACAGTGTTATTAGAATGTATTTGCATGTTAAAGAAGTGAGTTAGAGTCACAGTCCAAGGGAAATTATATCTTGAAATTGCCTTAAGAGCAGGGCTTTGTTTTCTTGCTGAAACAAGCCATTCAGCTGCTGTTGCGGGAGGCTGGAGCCCATTGGGGTGGCTGTTCGATCCATTATTCATGATTTTAGCAGAGCCGGGTTTTGGTGGGAGGGGGAAATCATTCTTTACCATCCAAAGCAAAAGCGAGCAAGCAAGTGAGAATTGCCCTGGCTAAAAGACATGGAGAAACTAAGCACAATGCTTCATGGGGCAAACACCCAGCACAGATCAAAGGATTACTGTGGCCACAAATGGGAACCAAGGGGGAAAAATGGTAAATAATTTTTCATCTGGTGAATTTTACCCTTTTTACCAATGGAATATCCATAAACAAATGGCAGCTTCCTGAAGCAGTTTCCTCCTGCCTATTCAGTGACAAGAAGACATTCTGGAGAATTAAAAATTCACTCATTCAAATGACCAAATATAGTTTGTTGCAGTATTTGATGCCTGATACTCTAAAATGGAGCTGTATCTCTTAGCTCTGACTGTTCCTGCAGAGGGTATCGGTTCTGCCTTTACCTGAGTAAGTGTATTTCACCAAAGGCAAAGCCACTCATCTTTTCATTTCAGATTTGGATTGTTTTCATACATGGCTTTTAAAGACTTACACATTTGCTTCTGTGTAAAGAAATGCCACAAAGTCTCTTGACACTCCCAGGTTATGGAAAAAGAACCACTGAAGTGAATTCACGTCAAAGGAACAACTTGTCACCAGAGAATTAAAATAAAAGCAGATAGGCTAGAGAAGGTGAGAACGTGTCTTAAAAAGCAAGTCTTCCACAAGGTCTTGTAATAAAGTAGGAAGAGCTCACACTGAAGAATAATTTCTTCTAGGCCCTTCTTAATCTGTTTATCCATTTTCCTTTCTTATTATGCCCATAAGAAATATAAACCGTCCATATTACTCTAGGTTAGCACCTGGGTTAAGTGTGGACCAACCAGATGAAGTGATGTGCAAGTTAGGTAAGTCACTTTACCACCTGCTTTGAATTAAAACTTCTGAATGGATCCATTTTGGACATGCAAGGAGATTTTCAGTCTATATTTTGAATATTCTATTTTTAGCTGCTTTTGGAGTGTCTGTGCTCCTTCTGTGCAATTTTCATAATTCCATGTGAGAGCTTTTCAGCCTGATGGCTTTTGCAGCAGCTCCCAGCCATGTGCTGAAAATTTACACATGCTTTTCTCTTGCCCTCATTTAAGATTTTGTTGTCTCAGAAAGGAAACAGTGAATGTTTTATACATTGTGACTTTTCTTTCTTATTAAAAAAACCCAAACCAAACAACAAACGAGGACCACATAGAAAGCTGTATCTCTTAGTGTCCACTATTCCTCCAATGCAAAGTTGTGGGAAGAAGAAAGACAAACGGGTTCCGACAGTATTCCTTCCCACCAAGATTAGAGGCAGCAAGAATAATTTACTTTGATGAATTGTATTCTTTCTTGCTATGCAAGATTCCATAAAGGTTGACAATATAATGGCTTAAAAGACCCTTTATGATGTAAATCTGGGTATCCCAGTCCTAACTGAACTCGGTGAGAGTTTGTGTACTACCCATACAATGGGATGGATTTTTAAAGACCTGGAGCAAAGTGTTCTGTGTTTTCCCCAAATCCGAGACTCTCCCTATAAGCACAGACAAGTAACCCACCCAACTGCCTATTGTACAGCAGCAAATGGAATATATATCACTTATTTTTAAGGGGTGAGAAGAGTACATCTTCAGAAGCAACCTCTGAGAATTCAGTTAGATGTGTATTGCGTGTATAAAGTAATACAAAAGGCGCTGGAAGTTCCTACCCGGTGTGGATGACTGTATGCATGCGATGGTCAGCCGTCAGGTGTGAAAAAGTAGCAGTCTTTAGACTGCATGGTCAAGTGTAAGGTCCACATATCAAAGCGTTATAACATAGTGTTAGGTGAGCAGCAAAAAATGTTCATCTTTTGGCTTCCTGGAACTGCACACAAATGCTGGAGAGCATCTTTCTACCCTGCCTCCTCAGGCCTTATTTTGCTCCATCCCTTCTAGAAAAAAAAAAAGGCTAAAAAGAAAGATTCCATGAAATTTGATGTTCACAGTTGTTGCATGCAGACCAATTAAGTTTGCAGGCAAATTGAGATTGTAATTAGCTATGGTAAAATGGAGAAAACAGACAAGTAAAACCCAGATATATCTCACGGTGCATGGCAATACTGTAAAAACAAGTCATGGCCGAAATGTGGGATTGCGCAAGCTGAAAAGAGGCAGAAAGGGGTTGGTGCAAGGAGGGAGTGGTGGTGAAACCCCCAAAGCATGGATGACTTTTCTCTGAACATCCTCTTGAGGTAAAGACATCGGCGTGGATTAGCTTGTTCTGGACTGATAACAGGTGAGAGAAAAGGACTCGGCAGAAGGACTTGGCACTGCCTGTCCAAGAGGATGAGAGTGGAAGTGGATCTGGAAATGCAATAATTGGGATTAATGGGAAATTGTTGGTTGGTGTCGAGCTGCAAATGAAGTGCAGCTGCTCCTGTGGTGCTGTGATGGAGTAGCCATAGCCTGTAGTTCCCATTGTAGTGTGTTTGTATGTGTTGTTTAGTGAGTTTATGTCTGTGTCTGTGGTGTCGGTACGTTGCGTGGTGGCCGTCACATTTGGGGTGTTTTCCGTTCCTCGTGTAGTGTGTTTGTTAATGAGAACAAAGGAGACAAAGAATGTAAGTTAACAGGTTATCAACTTTTGTGTCCATTTTGTAGCAGTGTTGTTTTCCAAAACAAAACAAAACAAAGCCACAGTTGTGCCACAGACTATGCCCTGCTGATTACATGATAGGGGCCTGATATCCACACGTAAACTTAGAGACATCCATCAATGCAATGCCAGGTACCTGAACTGCATATATACAAATATCTTCATACATTTCTACACCTTCTTCATTCACGATCCAGATGTTTAGCAGCAATCTAGTAGGCTCTTAAGCAGCCTTTTCTCCCTTGATTTTAGCAGTGCTAATCCCAGTGCATCTTGTAGATAGGACATTATATGAAATTATGGACTATAAAGAGTCCTCAGGTTGCACTGGAAGGCAAAAGGTGTGTAGCTCTGCATTCACACATTAACTGCTTTTCAACACGTGTACTCTGATGCTTAAAAAAATCTACCATCCTTAAAGAGGCAAAGCAATTGTAAAAAAATCGCACTGTCTAGTGTGCATGCAATAGTCTATCTGCCTTTATGATATATTTAATCTCTTCTTAGTAATTCCAACGGTTAGCACATAATCCCAGCGCCCAAGTTTCCTGAAACTTGGCTTTGCATGGTCTACATGCTCATTGAAAATCACGTGGGTTAATTATTTTCTTGCCCTAATTTTGCAGACATAAGGTGCTGTCAGTATACACGTAACTATGTGATTCCAATTAATACTAGTCTGAAGTAGAACAAATGATAATTTAGCAAATCATTGTTCATTGGAAAACACAAATGTGAAGTGAATAGTGAAAATCTCAAACGTTACCATCCTGGTAACTTTTGGTGCTCTGATTCAGCTTCCAGTTTCAGGAATCCTAAGACCAACAATATTTCTAACTATAGATGTGTAATCGTATGACTGTAAGGAGAGGCAGATTGAGATCAGTGATTATTGTGAACAGAAGAGCGTTGCCATGTTGTATTTGTTTTCACCAAGTCAAGTTTGCAGGATTTCAGCTCATTTTGAATTCTTAAGGAGAAGGAACACAGTTTTTTTTAAATTACACCTGAACTAACTAGGTATATTGGTTCTTATTTGCCGTATTCCTAAAGAAGCCTGATCAAAATGAAAGAATGCAGAAATTTCTGATGAAAGTAATTTTTCCTTTATTGGATGAGAAAATTAAACTGATGATTTACAAGTGATTGTGCAAAACTGGCAAATCCCATTGCAAGCAGTCCTTCCCAAATTATTTGTGAGACCAGATTTGTGCAATGCAAAATGTCTGCAGACACGTTAAGGCGTGAGATGAAATTTGAAAGGGAAGATAATGTTCTCTTGGGCACTTTATGTGTGCCTTTCCTAGGGCTGGAAGTGGCTTTTCCTCAGGTACAAAACTGTCATGCACAAGTCAATAAGTGAATTGAGTAAACAAGGAACTGATAGGGCCTAGAAAGTATATGTAGGGTGACTTTTCATTTTTCAGCAGAGTATGGTCCTGCGGGTGGTTTATGGGATACTTTCCATCTGCCTTATCTTCTTTTTCCCCAGAGGAGGGGAGGATCCTCTGTTCCAGTGACAAATACTTTTTGAATGACCCAAAGTGTCCCAGCAAGGGCTGCTGCAGCCCAAACAGCAGCGGCAGCTGGTTTTGCTCTTGGGAAGCAGGAGGAGTGCTCAGGGAGAGGAGATGGGTGCCGGGGCTGGTGCCAGAGGGGAAATGGCAATGCAGCCCCCGAGAGCCGGTCCCATGACCTGAGTTATGTCTTTGCAGCTGCTGAGGCTGGAGCACACTGGATGTCAGCCAGCAGAGAATTTGGGATTACGCTTTGAAGCCTGAAATGATCCCGTCTTTAACTGTGTCTTTACTCTGGGAAGTAGGAGTTTGGTGTTGTAGTGTTTTCTGTGGTCACACATGTGAAGAGGACGGCATCTGGCCAAGCATCACATTTGTACAGACAAATCAGTTTTAGCTCCCATGTGAGAGACACAAAATGAAGGGCATAGAAAGTTCTGATCAGGAATATAAGTGCCACAGGATTAATTAACACAGTATAAGTAATGAGGTCTGACTCTGCCTTCTTTGGTCTTTATTTTTGAGTTAAGTAACTTTCAGAAGTAAATTGGATGGGATGCCAAAATTAATGAGAACATAACATTGGAAGCATTAAGATTAAAATAGTGTTGGACCTGAAAGGGGAGGTACTTAAGCATTTTGGTCAGGTCTCAGGCTCACACAGCTTATCACTGTGACATTTGTGGAGTAATTATTCTGAGTGGAAATCAAAGAATAAAGCCGACTTGTGCAGAGAGCTGTCCTGTACCTGAAGAAAGGGACCTTTTATGCTTAGTTCATTTAATAAATGCTCTCCCATTAACTGCCTACTCAGAAGCGTTGCAAATGAATAAATAATTAGGTTCAATATATGTGCTTAGGGGCATCTTCTGCAGAGATGTTAAAATTTTATAGCTTTGATTATCATAAAGAAATACGCCACCAAATATGTAACCCTGTAAATAGGAGCTTATTGATGGTGCGCTGTCTCAGCTACTCGAGTGCAAACCCGGAGCAGGGGCCTGAAGGGAATATCCAACATGTAACATCAGTATCCCAGCTTTAGTTTTCAGACGGAGCCACACAGGAAATTCCCACACATATTTAGGGCATTGCTATTTATTTGCACACTGTGCTTTGGTTTTAACTATTGATAACCGTGAGTTGTGCAGATGTCTGTCCTGCGGTTCTTTTCTTTTTTGCTTTTTTGTGCACCACGGAGGCACGTTTTCTGCTAAACCTATCCCTTTGTCCTGCTGATCAGCTCAGGGATTCCCATGTTTTACCTGTACAGAATGTATCGATACAGGAGCTTCAGGCTCAGCTTGAGCAGGAGACGAGACTTCACCGAGAGGAGCAAGAAAAGTTTACAGAAAGGATCATCCAGGTAAATACAAAACCTGCCTGCTGGGAGAGACGCGTGGCCATGACGTGTGGCATGGACCTTGTTTGTCAGGATCATGGAAACCTGTGTCCTGATGGCTGTGCCTGTTTGACTTCATCTGAATAAATGAAGAGTCTGGAAGTTGGAGAAATGTACCTTCAGGCCTATTTTGCCCCTTTGAATCTGGCTTCTCTACTTGGTGGAGAGAAGTTTTGTCCTCCCCTGTGCAGGGGAAGTCAAGGTAGAGATGTGAAATTCCGTGTGGGGAATTATATATCAGCCTTTTCATATCTCCAGGAGCTGGGGAAGGGTGCGTTTAATCTCTGGGAGAACAGTTTGTCTCTATGCCTTATTCTGACCCTTCCTCGCCCAAAGCAAAACCAACACTCCTCTGACGCTGGAGGAGTGGTTACATGCTCATAACTGAGACACAAATCAGGACTTCTTTGTATTTCTCGGAACCCCATGTTTCCAACCCCCTTATTCATTACTGGTGAAGAAATTATATTTTGTTACATGGACCCCCCCTGCTCTTTTGAAGGCTGGAACAGATTAGTCAATCGTTTTGTGATCTCTAGCTCCTAGAGCGAAAAAAATCTGTTGCTAATTTTTGCAGGCTGTTTGGCTCTTAACCGAAGTTTTCTTTTTAAATTTACTTCATAGACTAAATTCAGCATAATTGTTGCATGGTGTAAAGCATTTTTCCTTGTGCCAGCTAATCTCATTATGCCCAAGTGGTATCGCATTTTTTTCATAAGTAGCTTTAATTTCCAGTTGAACTCTATAGGAGCTTTCTCATGGAGGGTTTTGAAGGCAACCAGGAAAATTGATTTCCTTCCTAGTTGCTTTGGCCATGAAAGCTTTTTGGAAGCTATGTTTGCCTCTTAAAGTTCTTTTCTTTTGCAATAGCTGTCCATTGAAAAAACATAATATTCTATGAAGCTACTTCCACCAGGGTCTTCTGCAAGAATTTGTGACCACGGGGACTTAGATCATAACAGATTGTAAAAACAATGAAAAATGCAGAAAAATCAAAGCTAGCTATTAGTGTTGACAGCCAGTAGAAACAGAAGAATAAAAGTATCTTCTGGATTCTTCATTTTTTCCAGATTATGCCCATCCTGTTGACATTGTTCCTTTTTTATCATCTTCCAGGATTTCTGGTGGAAATGACTCAGATCTTTGCTGTATTTAACCATAACTTTATTTAGTGGAAGAACCTACATCAACACAAAATCTATTTGTTTCTTCCTGCAAATTAAGTTTAAAATAAGCCCCTTTTTCACTATTTCATTTTTAGCAATGTTTAATGACATCAAATTGATGTGTGCTAGCAGTGTACATTCTCCACGAGTGCTACTAGAAGTTGCGTGTATGTTTTTTGGGCCATTATAGCTAATTTTGTTCCAGACTACTTTTAAGCTGCATTTTAAACCCATTTAAGCTAGCAACTACTGTAAATAATTTTAATTTAATCGGGAACTTTTTAAACATAGTAGCATACATGCTGAAAATCTGCATTATGCACATCATTTAAAGGCCAGGAAAGTCCTTAGTAAACCATCTAGTATGGGTCGGTAGCCTGTGTCAGAAGCATCTGAATGTTGCCATGAAAATCAAGCATATATTTCTTAGCAGTAGTAAGTGCTAGGGGGCCCATGCTCCTGAATAAGAATCTCTGAAGTATTTTCCATTCCTGTGTGAATGTTGTTTGTTGCAGGGTATGTTCTTATGGTTTAAATCGTTGTGGTCGTTAGTGTACCATGGCTTTCATAGATTTCATCTATGGAGCTGGTCAGCAAAGGAAGAAGCTGTTCTGCAGAATGGAAAATAGTGGAAACTGGCATCTGTAAACAGGGGCTCTGTACTCATTTTCCATCTGCCTTTTCGTGATCAATGTGAACCACAGCATGGTGGAAGTGGAAACACTATCTCATCCATGCAGAAAATGAGATGTTGTACAACTAACTTGTACAAGTGCTATTGGGCACAGGTCATGCCATGGTTTGATTTTGACATATTGAGGGAGAAGTCACGCTTACAGAATAATGTTTCAGGTGGCCTTGTGTTGAAACAGATGTAATTATGCGTGTGCTCCAAAGAATAAGATTTTCTTGGTGCTTCTGGTACTGAAACTGAGGCGTTGAATACCGAGTTGCAACCTATCCCCATCTCTCCAGTTCCTGCACGTGTCCCTGATCTAGTCGTATCAGAATGAGAAACTGTTTACTGTGAGTCATTCAGATGCCTCCAAGTATGAACTGTGAGAAGTGAGGGACCAGTAGTTGTATCTGAGATACTGGATGTGGTTCCTTCAGAAGCATTGCCCTTCCAGAAGCAGAGGGAGATATAGCCACAGAGGAAAGGATGAGTCTGTGGCTGGAGAGGGAAGAGGCAAGGATAATATTCCAGGTTGTCTGAAGGGCAGCTGTGGTCCCACCTTATAGGAATGTCTGCAAATGCATTTAGCAGGTGTGATATGTGCAGCAGTGTGGGCTGGTGGCTGTGCTGGGAACATACTGCAGGGATACAATCAAGAGAGGGAGGAAAATATGAGTGGTATAAAATGTTTAAGCAGCAGAAGGTCTCGTGCATCTTTAAAGTAAATGTCCACTTCCACTTGGATATGGTTATCTAAGCAAAGCTTATCCACTGCTGTCCTTAATTTCCTCAACAGTCATAACTGCTGAGGAACTTATTGAGCCAAGTCAATAGCTACTCACTACTGATGAAAATGAGAGATTTCAGTTTGTCTCACCCAACAAAGTACAAGTCCTGGAAACCATGCCAGGACAGCACCCCGTTGACATGGTGTCTGTCATTCCATTAAAGCTGGAGGAGGAGCACATGCAGACCCTGCGGAGGAAAGACTTGGAAGTGCAGAGCTTGACTTTGCAGAACAAACTGGAAGAGAAGACATGGAGCCAGGAGAAAAGTCTGCTGCAGCAAGAACTCAGGCATTTCAAGCAGGACACCTTTCTCCTATATGTCAAACTGAAGTGGCTGCTGAAACATTGGCGGCAAGGAAAGCGGATGGAGGAGGAAGGGGAGGACATATTAGAGGTAACTGTCCCACCTTATTAACCCAATGAAGTTGCAAGCGGTGGGATACTGGGATGTTCATTCTTTAAGTATAGACTTCAAATACGATGTGCCATCAGCAACTTTATAATTACACATAGATTTAAAGGGAGTTCAAATTAAACATGAAGCCTTTTCTTCAGTTGGCTCCTGCTAAAGAATATTCTGCATGATATGTTACAGATCACCCATCTTTAAATCTAAACCCTTAACTAGTACAAACATCTGGCCCTGAAAAACTCTCTCATAGTAAATGAAAATTTAATTAGGTCTCAAAGATATGACTCCTGAATAATTTTTAGAAAGGAAAAAAAAATGTTAGTGAGCTGATGGAGTCAAATCTGTTTAGACGGGTTGAGTGCTGTCGTTTTTCAAATCATGTGCACAGTGTGTTCCTTACAAAGCCTTCAGCAATACAGATGGAGGGAAGCTCTGTTTTCATGTTGGCAGGAGAATTATAGAGCTTCTTGTGGGAACTTAGAGTGAATCATTCTTGTTTGTTCCTCTTCTCCATGCACACGTCTATCACCATCAGCAGCAGTGCGCCAGTAGTCATCACGGTGATTTTCCAAGTAGCGACTAAACTAAGATCAGGAATTTCAGAAGTACATAACAACCTGGAATCCCCAAGCTGACACATCTCAGCAGGGGTGTGATTGCCAGCCAATGTGCACTGTGAAGAAAGGTGCTGCTAAATTGTCTCAAGATACTCATCCAGAATTACCATTTCCTTTGGAAATCTTACCTAAAGAAAAAATAAGTTTAAAAAAGAGTTTGCCCATTCTGACATTTTATACAAAAATCCTGAGAACAATAGATTTATTTTGGAGGTTCGTGCAATTCTAAAACCATTTGGTAAGGCAACAAAGTAATTTTTCTCAGTATTTCTGATAGTTATGTGCCTAGTGTTTTTCAGTGTTTGCCGCATTTGGCAGTACAAGTAACCTTTCAGGTCTGGTAAGAGTGTGCTTAAATTGAATACTCCAGTGTTTTTTATTCTTAGATAAAGGGTGGATGAACATCTTTACCTTCATCTGCTGTGGTAATATGAGTCAGAAACAAGAGATGAGTAGCTATTTAGAAATAATTTGCTTCTGCTTTACTTCAGCAGTACTAATTTGCTTCTATGTGAACTAGCTCATCTTCTAATATCAAAACAGCTTTCATTTTTTCACTGTTTGGATTTTTTGACTATTTAATTTATAATCGGTCCACCTCCAGTCATTATTGGAGTCATGTGTTTTACTAACACATTAGAGAATGAAGTGCTAGATTTGGATACGTCCTGATCTCCATATCTTCATCAGACAATACACCAGCATCTTGCACAGCTTTTCATTAATGTGTGATGTATTATATTCATCGTGCTACATTATATACCCATCTTCTCAGCTGCATAGGTCTTCTATTTTGCAGGCCTGCATAGTCTTGTGTTCACATATGCAACGTGTCATATATCACCCAAAGATCATTTCCTGTAGCCTACAGAATAGAAGTCAAAATATCCCACCAGGGGTTGCAGGGGAAGATAGTACCTTTCCTTGGCCCTCCCACAGATTTCTGTCCCCCAAGGTAAATCGCAAAAGAGTGTTGATGTGTCCCATCTCTTGCATTTTAGATCGAGCACCCTGAGACCCTCCCAGACCTTGGCATTCAGTCTGAGCAGAAGACGGACGAGGCAGAGCGAGAGGAGGAAGAAGAGGATGTTGTGTTTGCACTGTCAGATTTCTCCCAGCGCCCCACCACAGAGAACGCAGATCATGGACCACAGCTGCAGACTGCAGAATTACTGCAGCAGCAGAAGCAGGTACTATACCAGTTGTATATCATGCCTTGGAAATGGGAACTGTGGATTTTCCAAGGGAGTTCAATTCCTTATGCTGCTGTGTTAAATCACCCAGAATCATACTTGTAAAAATACTTCTAGCTACACAGCAATTACAGTGGATTTCATCCATTATATTTATATTTAATCAGGAGCCACGTGATTACTGTTCTCCTGTTGGCAGACGCTATCAGTGAAAAATCCTATTTCCTCTTGTGGCTGTTTGCCCAGAAACATCTATCAGTATGTGGTGGTTTGCAGAATTTACATGCTCCTCTCTCCTGAGCATGTCTATTGTATTCTACTGTCAAGCTTTTAGCAAGAAGAGGTGATTTTATTTCCTTTAAATAATTTAAGAAACTAGCACATGTATTTAATGTTTCCCTTAGAGATGACGGGAAAACAATGTGAAAGTTCCTTCCTGTCACTGGGCTTGCTTTTAAATGCCTAAAACCAAATCATGCTGACTTTTCCCTCACATCTCCCGTGGCCTGCCTATGTGTGTTAGAGCACTGCCATACATCCTAGCTTTTTCCTTCGTGCATTTAGTATACCAGCAGTCCTAACAATAACAATAGCAAACATTCAAAGGGGACAGACTTAAGGCTTCCATGGTTCTTCAGGAGCATCTTCTTATATTTTTAAAATGGAAAACATTCAGATGAGAGCATCCTGTTACATGGAATTATTTGCAATCATAAGTAGCATGGACCAAGAATTCCATGTAAAACACAAATTCAGTGAAGAAGGTTTTGGAGCTTTATGCCTTATGCCCCATCTCTATCTGGGCCCTTGACTTAGGAGCCAGCTCCACAGCGAGAGCTCTCAGACACATCTGTACTCTCTGTGACTGCACTACTTTGCTGGGCTCACTGCAGGATCTGTGTATTGTGCGGGTCTTTGCACTTCAGTTCTTCACCTTGAATTCCCCAGACTCTCATGGCTATGTACAACCTGTTTACTTATTATCTATATGGTCTAATACATACACAGCAGACAACAGTAAGTCTCTATCTTCTATCTCTATCTTTAAGGTTAGGCTGGTGCTGGGAGATGCACAGGCTGTCTTGCAACCTACCTCTCTAGTTCGAGATGTAACTTTGGTTAGAATTTCTGTTTGAATAAAAATAGTAGAGATCTGTGGTCTTTATGCTACTTCATATTCTGCTTTAGGTTTATATATTCTTTTGCTTTCCTTTTTCATAGTGCTAGCTGCCAACTCCATTCTCTAGCTATTCTTTTCTGTGAAGTGTGCTACTAAGGTAGTATTCATTTGATCAATTTGGCATTTGGAAAGGTTCTACCTTGCCAGTCACCCAGACACATCACTGTCATCCTCTCAGCAAGCTCTTCTCTGGTAGAGGCTGAAGAAGGCCATGGAAGAAATGCTTCTGAGCACATTGTTTAACTGCATTACATCTGTAGACTGTTTTAATCTAGAATGAGTGAAATAAATATAAAAGAACATACTATCTCAGTAGAAACTTTGTCATGCACTAACTTTACATATAGATCTCTTAAAATTACCAAGAACATTCAAATAAATTATCTCCTCTTTGAAATAATCATCGCTTAGGCATTAATCTCAATTAAGGTGGCAGAAATGGGAAGTAGGATTGCTTATAATTAATTTTTATATACATTGCGTGATGTTCCAATGCAGCAGTTCCAGCTAATCTTGCTTAAAGAAATGATCCATAGGAACAGACCACATCTCACTTCCCCTCTTGATAGTGAATAGTGCATGATACATGATATCCAAATGGATTTGTGAAGGTAATTGCCTTCCAACCAGGAAAAAAGTGTTATTTCAACACTGCAAGACTGAATGAGTTCGCTAGATATTTCTCATTTTAAGCACTGGTACTTGTTTTGCCTGCTCACACTAGTGAATCGTCTAACAAGCACTGTGTTTCTTGACAGGCATGTAAAAAGGGTTTTCAGTGCTATGGGGCTTGCTTTTGTCAGTGGCAAGAAAGGATTATGATTATTCTCTGGCAGAGAAATAGGAAGCCCTGAGAGCATCAGCAGACCCAGAGCACGACCTTCCTGAAGGGGTGAATCTCAGCAGTGCTCACCTCCTGGTACACCAGTGACTAGTCAGGTGGCCTTGAAGAACACCCAGGGTGTTGGGGGTCTTCTTCAGGTTCCTTAAGCCTGCAGCTGGAAAAAAGCACTGGTTACATTGGGAATTTGGGGTGAGTGGTGAAGCTGGAAGTCTCCAAGGTTTGCACCTGCCCAGGAGAGCCCTAAGTTACTGGTTCTGCCTGGCAAGCTCCAAGATCATAGAATCATAGAATCACTTTGGTTAGAAAAGACCTTTGAGATCATCGAGTCCAACCTTTAACCTAACCCTGCCATCCCACCACTAAACCATGTCCCTAAGTACCTCATCTATCCTTCTTTTAAATACCTCCAGGGATGAGGACTCTACCACCTCTCTGGGCAGCCCATTCCAGAGCCTGACAACCCTTTCGGTGAAGAATTTTTTCCTAATGTCTAGCCTAAACCTGCCCTGGCGCAACTTCAGACCATTCCCCCTCGTCCTATCGTCTGTTACCAGGGAGAAGAGGCCGACCCCCACCTCACTACAGCCTCCTTTCAGGCAGTTGTAGAGGGCGATCAGGTGGCAGCTTTCCAGCCACTCTTCCCCAAGCCTGTAGCGCTGCATGGGGTTGTTGTGACCAAAGTGCAGGACCCGGCACTTGGCCTTGTTGAACCTCATGCAATTGGCCTTGGCCCATCGATCCAGCCTGTCCAGGTCTCTCTGCAGAGCCCTCCTACCCTCGGGCAGATCAACACTACCACCCAGTTTGGTGTCATCTGCAAATTTGCTGAGGGCACACTCAATCCCCTCGTCCAGGTCATTGATAAAGATATTAAACAAGACTGGCCCTAGAACTGAGCCCTGGGGGACAATGCATCAGCACTTGTTTCACTTTAGGAAGGAAATTTTATGATAGTCTAGGAGTGGCTGAGATAACTGGGTCAGAAAAAAAAAGAAAGGGCTTACAGTAACTTGAAGTAACCCCTATTTATTTTTAACATTTAATGTTAATATTTAATGGCTTGTATTTTCAGCCTGCACTCTTGCTGCTGACTTTCTCACCCTGCCTGGGAAGTGGAAATGTTTTGAGAAAAATGATAAACCCTTGGGCCTTAATTTCAACAACCAGCCTTCAATTTTATATTGTTATGATTTGAGGTACTCAGCTTGGTGGGAAGTACACATCTCACTTGTCTGGGCTTTTTATGTGGCCAGTGCGTGGAGGGATGAAGGCATGGCAGAGGGGAAAGGGGAAAAAAAAAAGGCTCGTTGATGAGAGGCAGCGTAGACAGGGACTCTGAGAAGGGCCAATTCATCTTCCTCTTCACAGCGTTGTCCCTTGGCTGGTAGCTGGGGCACACTGCAGAAAGGGTCGGGCAAGGAACTGGCAAGGTGCAAGAGCCAGGCAGAAACTCTGGTGATGGGCAGGAGATAAGCAGGCAAGTTGGGCTGGTGGCACAGTGGCGGAGGGCTTGCTCTAAGTCAGCCTTTCTATGTGTGTAGTAAGACATCAGGGAGAACAGCCTGTGGAAAATGGAAGCACTTTGGTTCGGTTGAGTAGAAAGGGTGAGATGCCTGTTGGATGGTGGAAGATCAGGGGAGCAACAATAAGAGAGTTCACACATCTGTGGTGCAATGGAAAAGGCATTAAAAAAAATACACTCATGTTGTTGCTGGGAGGGGGGGGATCAAGACAATCCCCAATTAGATCTTTTTTTGCTTATTCAATATTTGTTTTCAAAGCTTAGCTAAGAGAAAAGCCCAAAGGAATAGTAATTAAGACCTAAATATACTAAAACTATTTGCACCAAGATCCAGCTTCACTTTTGCCTAGATGTGTGATTAGATGTAGAAAACACACAGCTCTCCTTTGCTGTTTAGGCTCCTGACCTTATGTTTTTAATTGAGTGCTCTACTAAACTTCTTGTAATACCAGACTGTGGTTAAATTCTTAAGTGAAATTCTCAGAGAAAAAAAGAATTGTGATTAAAAGCAGAACCAAGCTTCGAACAACTGCTCTGGTCCCAAACTTTTCTAGAGCTGGAGGCTCCCATCTCTGGGGTTGACTCAACTTAGTAAAGACTCCAAAGTCCTGGAATTTAATTGAGGTTTATTACATTAAGTTTTTACTTGTTGTCAGCTGTTGTTTCCTTTACCTATGAATTCTGAGCTATGCATACAACAAGACTTTAAATGGCTTTTGTAATTCTCTTGTCTTAGATCAGTTGTGAATCAGTCGGATTCCTCCATGCTCTAAATTTTGGTAGCTGGTAAGGTACTAAAGAGCCAGCTCCTTGCATGGGAAACTGTCCAGGGAATCACAGCCATGCCCCGTTTCTTCTGCCTGTACAACATCCCTGTCAGGAAGAGGAAGACCATAACAATCCTTGTTATGTATCTATGGGACTTATTCTTATGCAGAAGTTGTTTGGCAGTTTCACCAACAGAAATCTGAAGCATGTCGAGATGTAAATACTGTTTCAGAGCACATTGTCTCAAAAGTGCTTTGTCTGTTCTCCAAAACTACTCCAGTTTGGCATAACAGAAAAAAATAATCTCACAGACCTCTCCAACTTCAGACTGTAAATACAAAGTCACGCAAAAGAGACTTCTCTGCAGGAATTAAAAGTATGTAACCAAAACTGGATATATATTGGCAAGTTAATTAAAATCGCAGCAAGCCCAGGGGGCACCTGGGGTACTTGTCTCATAACAGTGACATTGATGTAATGCCTCTAGAAATAAGACATGCCCTCATCCCTGTAGGCTGCGAACCTGCAATGAGGTTGTTTTGGCTCTTCTCTGCACTAGTCCATCGCTTCTTTCTTTGCAAACCTAATTTTACAGGGCTCTAAAGCTATCAAATGTATGCACAGGAATGAGCGATGTAGCTTGCTTTTGTGTTATTTTGTTTTATTTTTCTTCTGCCTCATTTCCCTCATGGAGCCTTTAGACTACTTTGCCAGAGAAAGGTTTATGCAGCATTCCAGAAAACACAGAATGTGGCTCTGGAATGAAAGCTTCATAGGCATTTGGGGTTGGGTTTTCAAAGAGGATGAGGCCAGTTGTTGATGAGCTCAATACCCAGCAGCTCCTGTTGTGACATAAAGACAAATTTTCAAAAGAGCTCTTATTCTGATTACTACACAAGGGGCTTGAGATGTTCGGAAAATTTAGCCTTAATTGGGTATCGGAACGAAAACTCATGGTGGAAACATAAAATCTCATTACATATTGAAAAGTAGGTGATCTTATATGCATGATGGAGGCTGCTGCTGTACAGTAGGAAACTGCTAATTGGCATTAAATGTTAATAGAATTAATTCTGCTTCTGTGGGTGCATTTCTTATAAAACCCCATGTTGTACACCATCACATTTCATTAGCCCAAACAGACGATAGGTCAGTCAATGAGCACCTGCCGTCATTTCCCTGCATCTAGCATATTTTTGCTGATGAACCAAATGGCTTGGAAAAAGTAGACCACATTGGTTTTTTAAAGAAAAAAGGCACTGTGGGCACTGTGGTATGTCTGATTAGTGATTACAAGAGTGTGTGAGGTGGGTTCAGTGATGCCAAAAATGCCATGAGCATATGAAAACAGCTTAGTTGTCTGCATAAAATTTTGTATGTATTGTCATGAAAATAATACAGATTTTTGCGTACATCTGCTTACTTGACTTGTCTACAAAGAAGTCCCCTTGTAGGAACCTCACGAAACACCTGATAAGAGGAATTGCAGGAAGCCTCCACTTGGGAAAATAAATAAAAAAATAAAATTAATTAGACTATCATGCAAGAATTGAGACAGCTAATTTGAGTTAGGCCTTCCCAAGGAAGCTAACACGTTCATGAAAACCAGGTGATTAAATGCTGAATTTGTTGAGTAAGCTTTTCCATTTTTCTGCTCATGCTGTGTCTGCTAATCAAGTACAATTTTCTTAAAAGTCTTTTCTATTCAAAATAACTCGTCAGATACAATCTCTCGTTCCTTCTTGGTCTTTAAGAGGCTCATTGGGAATATTTGATTTAAATTTGGATAAATGAATCATGTTACATATTTCTGCTTCCTAATTCAATGACTGCAAAAAAATGGTGGGATACCTTTTGTTTTGCTGATCCAGAATGAATCCTTAAAAAATGTTCTTCAATATTTAACATAAAAATGACAGGCTTTGCAAGTCTGCAGAGAATTTGCAGAAAGTAAATGCCAAAACTAAGAAAAAACAATTTAGAGAATTGAACAAGCATACATGTTATCTTTCAGTACTTGCCAACATCATCTGTCAGCTCTGGGCTAGGCTTTTAATTTGACTCTGTTCGTGGCTCCTGGCTAGCACAACAGCACAGGCAACATTTTCAGTATGGCCATGACATTCTCAAGAAGACATGGGTGGAGGTTTGTTCTTTGATCCCATCTGCAAGAGGGACAGTGCCCTACCTGGCATTCGTGCCTTTGGTACCAAGTGAGGTGCTGCTAAAAAGCTAATTTGTGTGCGACTGCCTGGGACTGAGGAGAGATGTGAAGTACAGACTAGTGAAACACCTTAGCAGAGATACTCGGCTCAAAACCTCACATTTTTTTCCAAAATAATTTTATCTGATAATACAAAAACTTTGAAAATTAATTCCTTTTCTTTATATGTAGTTTACAAATATTTGAAGTTTGATACTGAGCAATGACTGTGTATGAGATGTCCGACTACTCAACAGACCTCAGGAAGGATACTCTAGCTTTGGTTTACAGTATTAAAAAAGAAGTTATTACAGATCTCCTCAATCCAGACAGATGTGTCATGCCTTTTTCAGTGTGGCTTCAGTACCTTTGGCTTTCATGGGCGCTTTAGGACTAGGGCTAACAAGAAGTAGAATCATAGAACCATAGAATCTTTTAGGTTGGAAAGGACCCTTAAGATCATGAAGTCCAACCATAAACCTAACACTGCCAAGTCCACCACTAAAGCATGTCCCTAAGCTCCACATCCACACGTCTTTTAAATACCTCCGGGTATGGTGACTCAACCAGTTCCCTGGGCAGCCTGTAGCCAGAGAAGGTGTTGCCATTCTTAGTTTTCTCATGCAAAAGTTAGCCTGGGTACTTTCTTTTCCACGCAGTGGACATGCAGGTATTTTTCCTCCTAAAAATGAAACCGGAGGCTAAAGCCATCCAATGACAGCATTTCTTCTGCTTTGTTGTGGCAGGCAAGTGAAAATCGGAAGCTCCTGAGCGCTCTGAAGGGCTTGCTGGATGACTTCCGCTCGGAGCTGCGGGATGAGGAGCGCGAGCGCCAGGGGCTCCAGCAGCAATATGCCCTGCACAAGGCAGCCTGGGAGGTGGAAATGACTGAACTGAAGTGCCACCTTGAACAGGTAACGTTCCCCGTGTCCAACACCCATAAAGAACGGCTGAGGTGCTTAATAAAATGGGAAATTTATGACAGCAAGGAAAGGTGCTGTGTTTATTCATCTTACCCTGGTTCCTGAAAGACCCCCTGAAGCCTGAGCAAGCCTTTGCCTCTGGAGTTGCCTCTTGGATTCCAGTTGTCCCAGTGTAAGTGCTCATGTACTAGGTACTGTGTAACGTAGGTGAGGACAAGGGAAGTGAACCTCTTCTTGCTGTATTTTCTCAGAAGAGTTGGCTGGTAACGTATCAGCTGCGGTAATGAGACACATGGGTGTCTGTATTTCTTGGCATTTATAGGAGAGAAAATGTCTTGATGTTGGCGTGCTCAGAGTTAGCTCATCACTGTGCCTTGGCACATAACAACTGCGGTATTTGATGCATAGGAGAGAAAAGAGTGATTTAGTAATGCTGAAGTGTTAGGTCAATATGTTAATTTTAAATCAGCTATTCAAAGCTACTGGTTAGTGATGGATGGTACCCCACTGAAAAGAGAGCTCTAGCTACCTGCCAGGAATACTGTTAGAAATATGTAGATAAAATCTGGTGCCAGGTGCTTCAGTGTCATGTACGACTGCTCACAGATATACTGTTTCTGAAGCAATATGAAAACAAATCAGCAAAAAACCCACAAGGATTCATTTCCAAAGCTGATGGCATAAAAGCTCTAATTTTCCACATTGCAGAGGGGAGGGGTGGGAGAATTAGTACATTCAGGTCCTGAGAAAAAGATTTGCAATTGTAGAGCTCCTTTGCAGAAGACAAATGTAATAAAAATACTCACTGCTAGGAGGATGGTACATTTAGGAGGATTTACTGAATGTCGGAGAGTCACTGTGACGCAGAGAACTGAGAAGTGAGCGCTGCTTTTCCTGCCCAGGTACTGAAGGCTGCATTCCCAGAATGAAGGAAGAAGCTTTCATTTTAGCAGTTTTCTCTCAGCAGATTCCAATTCTCCGTTCAGCTGCTTCTTATTGCACAGACATTTCCAGACAACAGATCGCTTGAAAGAGGAAACAAAATCAATCCCCATTTTCACTTCTCCCAAAATAAAACCCCAGTGACAGATTTACCTTAAACTCGAGATGGCAACGAAGAACAAAACTTAGAGGAAGTTCATCTGACAACAAACTGCCAATTTAGAGCTTGCATGCTTTGCCTTTGCACGGGCGATAAACTCTCAGGCGGCCACTTTGGCTGGTGTTTGGCACCAGGCTGGTGCTGCCATTCCTGCCCAGGGAGAAAACAGATTTGCATCCTTCCTTCTGGTGGCTTTATCAGGATCTTTGCTACCTCCACTGCTCCACTGGTAATAATGTATAACATATGGCAATTATCGAGCCGTGGGTGTTACTTTTCACATTTTTTCCAGCAAATGAAAAGAATGAAACTGGTCAATATTTAAGACGTAAAAGCGTCTTCCTTAGCTTCCCCAAACTACATTTCTATTTCACAGTAAAAACAGGTCGCTAATGCAGCAGGAAAAAGATAGCACATAAATCGTTAGAATATCAACTAGGGCAGGGCAAACAATGTGAGGGTCCCACTGAGGTCTGGTGGATGTTCTCATGATTGCAAGGAGGCAATTAAAAGATTACATATAAAGATAAAAATATAATAAGCCTGAACTAGAAATTATATAAACATAAATTTAACTCAAACAAATGTTAAGGATTCAAAATATGGTGTGTTTTTGTTATAGGTTCAATTTCAGGATAAAAATGGGAGGAGCTAGTGAACGACATATAAAATATCAGCATTACTTACAGTCATGTTAACATCTTTTGCTATTCTGTACCAACACGTGGCATAACAACAGCTGTAACTGAATAGCCAAGTCTCTCCTGTCAGTGTGGGTAGGAGAATCTCTCATGATGTCATTTTGTTGTTTCAATTGGTAGTGATGAAGCAGGGGGCTGTACAGCGCTCCTGCCCTAGGTGGGGTATAGAGCTGCCAAACCCTTGACAAGCCCATAGAGAATCAAGGCCTTTCTAGTCTCCACTGCTGTCTTCACTGCTGCTGGTTTCCACTTCTTTTGTGAAGCAGTAGGTCAATTAACAAGAGCATTTTCCTCAAGAGAGTCAACTCCTAATTAATAGTCACTGGCAATGGTTTTGCATTTTGATGTTTCAACTCTCCTTATAGGAAGAAAAAAAGAAAAGAAAACTCTTTTGATGCAAAAGCACTGCGTATCAGAGGTGACAATGTACTGTTGTCTGTTGCTTTGGAGCTTTAGCACTCCGTATATCATTAAAAATGAGTCTCGGCTGTCAGAAGTGCATGCACATCTTACTTGGCAGAAGGATCCTTAGGCATTGTTTTTAAGATAAGAAATAATGAGATTGCTCCCAAGTATGGGATTGCAATAACTCTGAGCCAATAAGGAGCCCCAGTAATTCTCAGCCTCCAGCTGGGCAAGTTAAAAATCCCAGTATTCTGGGAACTAGGAACTCAGAAAGGTTGGGAAGGAGGGGGTTAGTATGTTGGGTGAAACCCAGCATATGCATTGAGAGTCATAGAATCATTTAGGTTGGAAAAGACCTTTAAGATCATCAAGTCCAACCAAATAGAATCATAGAACTTGCACATAAGGACACGGACACTCACCAGGACTCCGGCCATGGTTCAGCTTCAGGATGCCTGGGGGAATATAAGCTGTGGTGCACATGGAGAGGCTTCTGGCCACCCTTAGCAGTTAGCAGGTTTAGGAAAGTCAGATCTAGACTTTCATGATGGGGAGCCATCAGTGGACCTTTCCCCCATGAGTTGAGCCATTTCATCTAAACAGATGCAGAAGGACTCTGTCCTTGCCAGGAGCATTGTTATGCCTTCCACAGGCACCAAGAGCTGTCTTCTCAGGCTAAAGACACCACCTCTGACTGGAGAAGGTTTTAGATCCCAAATCACTGAACGCCAGGAAATTATTCTGAAGGTGTATCACTGTATACTTGCCTTGGTTTTGAACTCATCTTTGTACTTACAGGCTTCCTGTATTCTTCTCAAATGGGGCAAGAGCCAGGGCTCTGGTTTGGGTGAGCCCATGGTCCAGCACAGGATGATGTACTGTTTTTTGGCAGCTTGGGCAAGGCACTCTTAACAGCAGCCATGCATTCTTGGGGTATTGCTCTTCTGGAGCACATTCTTTCTCCCCGCTGTCTCTCTCAGCTTTCCCGCCCTTCACAGGCAGCATGGCCTAGGTACCACTGCCTTTCTTGTTTGCTAACTGAAAGAAAGAGAATTTTCCTGGTGGTGGTGAAGAACTCAGTGGTGTAAGGGGAGGGAGAGCAGAAGTCTTGTTGAGGTTCAACATTTTGCTAGTTATTTGGTATTCAAGAAAATGGATAATCATACAAACTGTATGTATTGTATCTGAGTATTTGTTTGCTCTATAGGTTGCTTTTAGCATTTGCATGCTTGATGCCAGCTAAAGAATTTATCACTGGCATTGGCATGTCTTTGCAACTTAGCATGCTAACCATAGCTACTGCTGCATATGGCATTATTCCCCAGGAGGCAGCAGAGTTGTAAGGTTGAGTCTGCCCTCCAGCCTGGTTGGATTTACCCCACACACTCCAGCAACCACTCCTGAGAGCTCCTATTGCAAGATGAGAAGCCTATGGGGGCATCAAAGGTCCCTGAAAGATGACTTATGTATATGATAAAGAACAAGTCCTAAATAGCCCTCTCAGCCTTAGGTGTAAGGAAACTGCATAGAGTTTACTTCATTAGTCCCTTACTGTTTTGGCTGATCTCAGCTCTGCAGTGACAATCCTGAAATACATGATTTATGTGGTGTCACAGCTACTTAGTAAACCCAGCAGGAACTTGCGAGGGAGAGCCAGGGGGTGCAGGCCACAGAACAGTAAAATCATAGAGTCATAGAATCCTAGAATACCAGGTTGGAAGGGACCTCAAGGATCATCTGGTCCAACCTTTCTTGGCAAAGGCTAGACAAGACGGTCTAGACAAGATGGCCCAGCACCCTGTTCAGTTGAATCTTAAAAGTGTCCAATGTTGGGGAATCTACCACTTCCCTGGAGAGATTGTTCCAATGGCTGATTGTTCTCACTGTGAAAAATTTTCCTCTTGAGTCCAAGAGGAATCTCCCCAGGAGTAACTTGTACCCATTACCCCTCGTCTTTTCCATGTGACTTCTTGTAAAAGGGGAGTCTCCATCGTCTTTGTAGTCACCCTTTAAACAGTAGAACAAAATCAAAGCAAACAAACCTAAAAGAATGGGTGTCAACACGGCCAACCCTGGATGCAGCAGCAACTTTGACTCCCTCCGCACCATGCAATGGAGCTGGGGACTTGTGGATGGACAGAGGAAAGCTGTAGCAAGGGACAAAAGACCATTACCTGAAGTTAGCGGTGAGTTTGGGAACTAGCAGCGATATTTTTACATATTGCTGAACAAACGTGGGCAGTCAATGTGCTGGGTAGTGGGTAGGAAGGCAGCAAAGCTTTTTGGCTTCTTGGGGAGCTGCACTGCCCAGGATCATGGATCTGCAGCACAGAGGTGTTTCTCCTGGGATGTTCTGCGTTTCTGCCCCATGGCACCTCTGGTCCATCACCAAGCCGTGTGGTTGCATGCAGGGCAGCTTCTCACACATCGCTGCTGATTGCACAAATTTACACTGCATAAGTAGGATAAGTGTGAGAAAGATAGTGTCACGTCAGGTTTGTTAAAATAGGATGCTGCTTTTTTATAATTGATTTTTTTTGGTTGGTTGGTTGGTCAGTCATTTGAAAACAACTGGACTTTGGAAATTAGTAGTAGAGGACACAGGTGTTTTAAGATGTCCCTGTAAATGCAAGTGGCTGTGACAGGATGTTCTCTGCAGCTCGGTACAATTTTAAATGACTCAAGCAATGACACCTCTGCCCTTTACTTGGGGAGGCTGTTCCAGAGACAGTAAGCCTCACTCCTGAATCCAGTCTGAATTTCCCTTTGCTCAGAAAGTTTGGGCTTATTTTTCACACAGGGCCATGTGAAGGAGTTGTCCTTCTGTCTTGCTAAAGGAGCATGTTTCCCAGCAGACCTGCTGCCTCTCCTTTTTGAGGACAACTTTAACTTCAGAGACAGAAATTAGTTTTCACTGCTTTTCCCTCCAGTTCACCTGCAGAGCCAGGGGATGGAGATGTATCCCATTCTGAGTCACTCACACATCCACTGAGTTCCCAACAAAAGGTCAGGCTTCAGGGATAAATTCTTCACTTGCTTGAACTTGACCAAACCATTGAGCACTTTTCTCCCTCTTACAACAGTCCAGCTGTGACCCAGGTTGGTCAGAGAGGTTGTGCTGTCTCTGTCCTTGGAGGTTTGTCAGGATCCGACTGAACAAAGCCCTGCACAACCTGATCTGATTCTCAGAGCCAACCCTGCTGGAAGCAGGGGGCTGGACTAAAGACCTCCTGACACCCATCAAGCCTGCATTTTCCTGTAAATCTATTACCTTGGGCCAGCTCTTCTGATCTGATCAAGCCAGTCCCTGAGCATGCAGTGAAGGAGAGGGGAGGGAAGGTAGCAGCAGCTGACTGCCCTAGAAATCAATTCAGAACCTATAGGAATGGGGAGGATGATCTCGGTGCATCCTGTGCTGGTAACACCGTCTGATGTTGGAAGGTGTAAGGAGCTGTACAATAAGACCATTGCTGAGGATTTCTCCATTCTGGGAAAAGTCTCTTCAGAAGATGAATGCACACTGTCTTTAGGTTTCAGGGTCACTGAGTGGGAGCACAAAGGCAGAGCCGTGGATGAGCGTGTTGTTGCAGATATGATGATGAGGGTGGAGTTCATCTCCATGTTTTTTTCATTGCTGGTACCCACACTCCCAGCAGAAAGTCCACAACTGATGTCTTAATCACATGAGCTGGTAGAGCTTGAGAGATGATTATAGGGAATCATGGCACAACAGCCATGCAATCCCACTTTTGATTCCAAAAAGTTTTGGAACCATGGATCTGGCTCTGTTCTGGAGCAGAGTCTGGTAGTCATTCACACTGATCCAGACCATGCCTTTCCCCAGCTTGGAGGATAAATGAGGTTTTACTGTCTTGATTTTAAAACATTTTTCAAATGAAACATCTTTGATCATTTATTGAGATCCTAAGAGCTAAGAATTGCCCTAATTTTACCATTATCTTTGTGGAGTTAGGTCTTTAACTCAAGTTCGTTGTCAGATGCAGGCTTTTACCACAAAAAGTTTGATGTCCTAGTAACGTTTTGTTTTAATGACAGCTGGAAGGGAAGAGTGAGAACACCTCAGGAGAAACAGGCCTCACTTCTGATGCAAAGGGAGCTTTTAAAAGGGCAAGAGAGGAGCACAAGAAGCTTCTGGCTGAGAGTCATGGTGTGGTGATGGACCTCCGCTGGCAAATCCAGCACAGTGAGAAGAACTGGAATCGGGAAAAGGTGGAGCTCCTGGACAGGCTTGATAGAGACCGGCAAGAATGGGAGCGTCAAAAGAAGGAGCTGCTCAGGAGGATAGAGCAGGTAAGGAGTCATCTGGGGGTGAGCAATGGCTGGCTGCAAGCGCGAGGCGCTGCACCATTGCTACATGCAGGCCAAGGTCCAGAGACTGTATTAAGCAGCAGCATAGGAACAATTTTGGTTCCTTGGCTACATCAGTGTTTCTCATGCTACAAAACAATTTGCACACACAAGGGAGTAAAAGGAAAATGCTCATAATCCTTATAAAAGACCACTTATGAGAAATCAGCGTCAGGTTAAAGGGCCATTTCCTGCCTCATTTCAGTTACCCCGGACAGGGACGGTCACATCGATTCGTTCTGTTTGAAAGCTTTTGTGCATCTGTTCATGCTAAAAGACTCAGTCCCACAGACAGGGTTATTCAAAGTTTGACATACAGCTTCCCACCAAAAAAGTCTGTTCATCTGTGAATTAGCCACCAAAGATGCAGCTGCTGCGACTGTTCAGTCTCAATTAAATTCTTTTTCTCAAGCAGAGGAACCCGGGGGTTGGCATGAAGAACCCTGACTGGTAACTAATAGACAGCTGTCAATACTAAATATTCAGAAGACACTTCTGACCTTGGTCACGTGAATTTTGTACACACCTCTGCTATCATTTGCAAATCTGATGATTGCATACCTGTCCCCTCGTTTTCCGTGCCCATACGCACTTTTATCTACTTAGTATTAGAGCCAGTTTATACCTAATGGATTTATTATCTGGCTGGAAGCCACAGAAAAAGAAGTTTAATGAGGGAGAGTTAATGTACCATTTTTGACTGAACATTGTTCAGCTCTGAGTCATGCATTCCAGGAAAAGTAAGAAAAACAACTGAAATTGTGGGTCCCCAATTAACTGAATACTTTCTGTCCTTAGGATATGGGAAATGGGATTGCACCAGCTTTGTGCATGCTCTCTAGGAAGCCCTATGCTTGAATGAAGTACAAAGTAGTTTCACAGGTTAAGTTGATGAAAGCCCGGTGTAACTTCATGACCGGTTTTTGAAAAGGGTTCGTTATCTGTGTCTCACGTTCCCATGACTGGGCTGCAAAAAGAAGCTATATAAGACACTGGCCTGTAAATATTATGAGTGCAAGATTAAACCTCAGTTTAAGCTATGGCTGTTAAACCCACAGAGAAGCACTTAAGAAAATGCTGTACTCTATGGCTATTTCTAAAACCAACACTAAAAGTGTAGGTCTGAGTCAGCAGTGACCAATAGGAAGGTTTTACAAACCAAGAAAGGTGATTTTTGAGCTTCTTAATTTAAAGATATCAATGACCTACATTCTGGATTTTTTAATCTCCCATTTCTCTGAGTAGTTTTGTGTATACTTCATGCGGCTTGTTGAGCTAGTCCTTAAAATGCCTTATAATGCAAACCGATAGTACATTTCCAAGGATAAAACAGCCCACGCATATGAGCTAGGAAGGCTTGTAGCAGAGCTCTCCATCCAACCCACCTGTTTCCCAGGCAGAAGATGGCAAGTTCTCCATGGTTTCACTGGACTGGTTTCTAACTGCTGAGTTTCAGTGACCAAACTGCCTCCTGTGGATCCTTCGTGCAAAATGGGAATTAAATAACCCTCAGAAAATTTCCCAATATGCTAAGGATGTGGATACAAACTTTTCTTTGGAGAGTCACTGGTACCTCTTTGGATGTTTATGCTGATGTCTCTATAAACTGTTTATTTTTAATATTCTCTCTTCAGTGCATCATCCTCAATAGCTTGAGGGACTTAACCTGGTTAAAGACTGCTTTTTCTATTCCCTGAGAATGGGGCACATTGAAGGAAGAGACAGAGAAATCCCTGTTAATGTTACCTGGCTTTTAGTTCTCTTTAAACTTGACATAACCTCTCAGTGTCATCTTGGGAGGGCCTACAAAATAGCTTTTAACTAGTCCTGGAGCTGATTTCTTTCATTACTATTCCGAAACCTCTAGGCCTCAACTATGTATTTACTGTACAATAGAGTTGTATACAGAATTAGCAATAGATAGGGGAAATAAAAAATACTATACCAAGCTAATTTTGGAGGACTAGATGATCAGAAATAGCATCTGAAATCTTGGCTACCTGCCTGCAAAACTTCGTAACTCCATCTTTGCTTATAATCAAACATTTCCCTGTGTGACAGGAAGCTTCCAAATATTTGCAGGCTTTTAGCTGAATGTCCTCTCAGATTGCAGCCATGCCCTGCTTTATATGGAAACAATTAGTATATCTCTGAAGTCCTGCTCCCCAGGGTTTTTCTGTGTGTATTCCATGTATGGCAATACATGGAGGATGAGGAGACTACACCAATGTGTGCATTTGAAAAACAGAGTCGAAGAGATAGCAGAAGTGTGCGTGCCAAATTTCAGACTAATGCTTTATGCCTGTCTGCTTTTACACAGCTCCTGAATAATACATGTACGATAAGGGGGGAGCTCACACCAATGTATAAAATATATAAAATACTTTACTCTGGATGGTTATGGGAATACCACTCGCATGTAAAAAACATGATGGCCTACTTTTTTTCAGAGCTTCAAGTTGGTTTTTTTTTTCTTTTCAACTGCGCTGTCACTTTGTTTTCTCTCAGAGAATCCCCTTCCACTGTGCTCCTAAAGCTAATTGTGCACAGAGCACACTGACAAATGCTTAAACCCACAAAATCACCAGTATGAAATGTGTGCTTGAAGGTATAAACACATAGGGACTCAAAATCATTAGGCACTCTTGAAAAGTTAGGCTAGTACTTCTCACTTTAATTCTCCTGTCAGCTGGCTGAGTTTCAGAGAGTGAGCCAGTAAACTGTGCTGTTTTCTCATAAAGGTTTGCAGATCATTATCCTTACAGGATCTCCAGAAATCTGGAAGGGCTTGCCACTGGAACTGTGTATACAGAAAACATGCAATTACCCTTTTGCCTCACTTTGGGTCTTGCACCATATGCTGGGGAATGGACTCCAGGATCTCTTGAGATACACCTTCTGGCCCCTACCTTTGCAAAATACCTTAAATTAGCTCCTTCCAATAAAGCTTTTTCAGATTTTGTATATCATGAGCAAAACACTGAAGATGCATTCACCTTTTTGTAGATCTGAATCAAGCAAGAATCTCATTGACTTCAGCCCCATTTGAGACCTAAAATGTTTTGGTCTACATTAGTCCATACGATGTCCTTATTTTTCCAAACACATACAACAAGATTAAAATAATATGTTTTGTAGGTCCTCACTCTCCAGGGTCCTAGGGAATGGCTTGCATTGACAGGTTATCGTCACTAAACTTAGCAGGCTGCTCTAGCAAAACATCAATTACTTATCAGATTCCTG